GTCTGTCTTATCAGGTAAATTACTGTACACAGTGTATTCATTAATTTTCATTTTCATGTAGTAAAGGCTCTATGCCTTCATAAAGGACGTACTTTTCCTTTGTTTAAAGGTATTTGGGCAGTTTATTCTCTGTTATATTCTCAAGTAAACAATACATACAAGTACAGTACAGTATTTTCTGAGGAAAAACTCGTACTTATTTTTTTAAACCCCATTCCCGATAACCCGGCATTTTCACAAACTCGGCCACCCTTCGGTCCACATTAGGCCGAGTTTTCGAGGTTCTACTGTATTACAAAATGGCAAGAAGCTTAATTTTAAGGACAGGGATTGGTTTTATAAAATATTGTAAATGCTAGTAACAAGTAAAATCGTTATTAAGTCTGACTCTACTGGAGATACTCCTATGGGGAGATAAAGGAACTCTTTATCTCCCCACCTCCTCAACATTTATCTACAAAATTTAATAGCATTAATCCCCCTAACAAACAAATCTCTCTGCAAATCTCAGAAGTTTTTGACAAAAAGCACAGGAGTTATTAATCTTTAAAGAGGGTAAACAAAATAACGCCATACACACTAACATACAGAAAAAAACCGAACTTTTTGCATTTCTCGACGTTTAAAGGTGTCCTAAGTCCAAAAATGTAAGAGTCTTGGAAAGGGGGTATTTTTTGACCGATTGCCAACTGTTGTACTTCTACTTTCCCTCTGTTGTATATAACAGCCTGGAAAGTAAAAATATTATTAGCATTATTTAAAAAGAAGAAAATAATTTTTAAAAAAGATTTATGAACATTTAGATATAATAAAATTAAAAACAGATTAAAAAATAAATAATAATAATGGTCTGCAGCTACACATGTCATGTCACACATTTGACCGATATGGACAATAGAAGAAAGTGGAGGAAACAGTATAATGGAGAGATACCAGAGGCGTGTAGTGACATTTGATGATACCAGCTCTGGGTAGAATCATCGGAAGCGTTATACTGTACAATATTTTGGTGTGTGGCTAAATCGCGAGAGGTTCGTGCTCTGTAAAGCGCATGCGCGAATGAGTATAATCTGGCTGCTTTACACCATTCAAATATTTTGGCCGTGGAAGCTATCGACAATACAGCGCTTCCATTGGGAATATGCATATACGAATTTATATTTGAATCTTGTCATTGTTTTTCACATGTAGTGTAGCAATTTGTAATAAGATACATAATGCGATTACAATAAAATATTAATTTTAATTAATTCAAAGTACCTTAAAATATGAAAATAATCGCACAATATGTATTTATATTTTACAGGGGCGTGCCGTGACATTTGATGATAGGGAAGCTGTGTTTTTGTAAGAAGCCGACATCCAGGGGCAATCAGTCAATTGCGCGTCAGTGATGATCTAGGGCAGTGGTTTTTAACCTTTTCATACTCGCGGCCCACCAAATATTTCATAATTTTTTTGTGGCCCCCATTTTTTTAAATAATAATTTATATTTGTTAAATGATCTTTAATAAATTAATTTTTTTGTTATTGCTTTATTTTTAAAATTCCAAGCATTGATAGTTTATTAGAATTACTTTGGAATAAAAGAAGTAAATACTGCGGTGTAAGTAGCATATTTACATTTATTTCTTCTGTACTAACAAAGTTGTACGAGGACTGTTCAAAAAGTATCGGACCTTTGGTCGGCAAAAATACATTTATTGATTTTGAGGTACAAAACCCTAATCCCCGTCAAAGTAATCTCCTTGGTAGTATATAGCCCCAGCGTTCCTGCCATTGCTGGAAACACCGCTGGAACGCATCTTTTGGAATGGCCATCAGCCGGTCCGTTGCATTCCGCACGATGTCTTCTCTCGACTAAAATCGGGTTCCTTTTAGCGGCATTTTCAGCTTGGAAAATAGCCAAAAGTCACACGGAGCC